TAAGTGAATTCATCCATGATGTCAGTTTGTATTTGATGTCGTTGGCATCTTTTCCGGACACTTACATCTAAAACATCAAGTAATATAGAATTGAATAGGTCAATTTCATTCATTTCAGTTAATCAACATAATTATTAACATTGAAGTAACATCTCTGAGTGATTGGCAGTAAACGTTTTCCATCAGATTTATAGAATTTAAGATGATTTTATGTGTCTATTGCTAAAAATATTTGTGTGATCTCTAAGTTCAGTCTTCAGTAATAAGGATAGTTGGTTGATGAACCTGTATTAATTCTGATAGATTGCATTCCAGTGAAGATCCAACTTCTCCTTGAAAATGTTTTCTTGGTGGAGCTGATATCACTTGTTCAGGTAATGCGTTCCAGTTATTGACCACTTGATGAGAAAAACGTGAGACCCCATCTTTAGATAAATCCGTTAATCTAAAGTTTCTAGAATCAATGTTACAAGAGTACAATACCGTTCTCACTTCTTTGAAATGATAATTAATAATCCTTGAATCTGTATCATCAGATTGATCGTTCATTCGATGGAATCCGTCTACTTCAATCTTGAAGGAAAGATCATAACTCATATTCAATTGAATTCTATGTTAAAAGATGTATCTTAATTGAAAGTGATAGATCATCAATATTGATATATGTATATACTTTATTTGATATATTGATTTTATTAGATGAATTCATCGCTGTCGCATGGCACGTTAACCAAAATAGATATCCTGAAGGTAAGTAAATGAAGAATGAATGATTGTTTGATAATAGTTGAGCTCTCAACATTCACACTAATAATTCATTGTGTAATAACTCATCATTTTATCAGAAGGGCATCCATATAGCCTTATTTCAAAAGCATTATAAGCAAAGATGGATAATGGTTAGCAGTGGAATCCAGTTTGACACGCGTTTCGTTCTAATTGGCATTGGTCAGCTGGATGTATCTGCATCTCACACTGGTTGATGTTCTCTCTGTGACGATGACGTTTAAAGCGAAAGGTACTGGGTTCGAGTCCTAGGGTGAACATCAACTCTGAAATGCAGGTACATTCACCTGACAAGTCGTAAATAAGACGAAACGCGCTTCCTGGATTCCACTGCTAGCCACTATCAATCTTTGTTAATAAGGGTATAATTGTTAGTGAAATCCTTTCAAAAGAAGGATACATTGGTTGAGAATTAAGGACAGTTGATATAAATTGAAATAGTCTATATTCTCAAATCAAAATTATAAACATCACTTTGGATAATTATAATCATGATCTGATGGGACATGTGTAAAATCGATTACAGAGATTCACTTTCGTTGACTGATTCCAATGGAACTTGATTAGAAATCTATTATATATTCATCACAGTCAAAGCAATTTCTGTATACTTCACATTCATCTACATATTCAATCGTCTCATCGTCATTCTTAAATATCATTCGATCAAATTAAGAAATCGTTATGACAATACACCTCTAGCTATTGATTTCTCGTCTTTATTAAACAACTTTATCTTCTTCAAAAACACTGTGGACAAAGTCAGTTGGTGGATTCGTATATCAGTGTGTTACATGGACCATTGATTTCCCAAGTTTCTTTTGTAAATAAACACTCTACAGCTCATATCATATGTATTATTAAGTGGCTTTCCGTGATCTGATACTGATACGCGGTGCGCTACACACTAACGCTTCAAATGACTACCTGAGCAATGATACAAGAGTAGTGAGTGAGAAATTGTATTTAACTACCGAATAAAATTCACACTCTAATCCTTAGGAAATTGATCCATTTCTTAGTCAATGAAATGCATTTGTCCTTCAAGTCACCTCTGATTGCCATCGATTGAGCTTTCTCAACAGACTCCTTCTGATTGTTTTTTTCAGTGGGAATTAGAAAATATTACGTAAATGTGAATATCTGTTGATTAAAGTATTAGATGTCATTGAATGATTGATGATTATTAGTTTTAATATCAATATGATGGTGTACTTCAAACTGGAACACTAGTTATCCGATATTCATTTTGGAAGGATATGTTAGTTTCATTTGGTTTGACGTTCACTTGAATGAGATCATTTCAACTTGAATTTCTTCTAAGATTAGATCACTTGATGAATAGGCGTATCCAGTGTGAAATTCAACAATAACAATGTTTATTAATGTTTCCTCAATATTTTTAAGTAATGATAGTATTCATTTTATAATTGTAGGAGGTTCGGTACTTTATCTGATATATCCAAATGGGAAGATGTCTCTCTACTTTAACGATGTAAGTCATATTACTGAATGGAGATGTAATGGTATTTCAAATTATTTCAATTAGCTGTCTTATTCACTTGACTACTATTCAATATATCATAACTTACTTAACATGAGAAAAATGAGATCAGCATTTTGTCATATGCAGACACATGATATAGCATATTTACAACTGAAAAACATCTGGAGCTCAAAACAATTGTCTGTCAATCAATACCAAGATCAGAACTTTCAATACAAATGTCAAGATAGTTCTACTGTATAGGGCGGAGACGTGGAGAACTACCAAATCTATCATCCAGAAAAGACAGGTGTTTATTAACAGTCGTCTACACATGATACTTCGGATCTGTTGACCAGACACTATCAGCAACAAGTTGCAGTGGGAGACAACAAACCAGATTGCGATAAAAGGCAAGCCCTCACATGGAATCCTGATGGCCAAAGTAGAAGGGGAAGACCAAAGAACACATAACGCCGAGAAATGGAGACAGACATGAGAAGAATGAACAAAAACTGGATACAACTAGAAAGGAAGGCTTAGGACAGAGTGAGTTGGAGAATGCTGGTCGTTCGCCTATGCTCCATTATGAGTAACAAGCGTAAGTGAGTAAGTAAGTAAGACACATGACATGACATTATAACGAATACATTAATAACAGCACACTTTTTTCTACCATCATTTGAATACGGTTAGGAATTAGAAGTGTATTGCTTTTGTAGGAGACGATGTGATGTACTCTCACCGATTCAAAACAAACACTGTACATAAGAGTATTTTATGAAAACAGTGAAATTTAGACAATCGTTATTTCGTCTTTCAAAGATAATCTGTTGTGTAATATTCACTGTAGGATAGTTGGAATAGGTTTATTGATGAAATTGTTGATCATTTTAGAGTGTATAGTTATTTGAATATCATTGTTTAGCCCTTCACCTACTTGGTATACAGTTACTTACATACCTGCTTACTTACGCCTGTTACCCCTCGTCGAGAAGCATAGGCCGCTCACCAGCATTCTCCTTCCAACTCTGTCCTGTGCAATCCTTTACATTTACCATTCATCCTTTTCATATCTGCTTCAATCTCCCGGTGTAATGTGTTTTTTAGCCTTACTCTTTTCCGCTTCCCTTCCGGATTCCAAGCTAGTAATTGCTTCGTGATGCACATTTGTATTTTTCTTGATGCATGTCTTAGCCATTTTCAACATCTTTTCCTAATTTCCTCTTCATCTGGAAGCTGGTTTGTCCTCTCCCATAAAACTCTGTTGATGATAGTATCCGGTCAGTGAATGTTGAGTATTTTGCGTAAACAACTGTTTATAAATACTTGTACCTTCTTACTTGACGATGGATGTAGTAGTGCTCCACGTTTTATCTCCGTACAGTAGGACTGACTGTCTTGACATTCCTATTGAAGATTCTCACTTTGAAAATAAGTTGAGAGTTATTTTGAGCTCCATCTATTCTTCAATTGTAGAAATACTGCCCTTTCTTTGCCATTGGTATAGTATACAGTTGCTGTTGATCAATTGTAAAATAGTGATTAGATGGAACAGATGATGTGTTGTAAGGCTGAATTCATCGTAAATAATGGGAAAGTATCTGGAAACATTGTTTATTATCTATAAGGATGATTCAAAATCACATTTTATTTGAACATACGTAGCTATTACTCTTAAGTTGTATCACACCATTCCATCAAACATAGATTGTACATTAGACCTCAATTATTTTGGACGACTAGATTAAGTCAGAATACCTATGTAGGAAGCATCCTGGAAAGCAAACTGATAATATTAGCATACATACTGTGTGTGTGTGACTAGTTGTCTTTGAATATGATGACCTAATGAATGACATACTACTGAAATGATTAGTTGCTTTTGATCTAGGTGGTTGTGTGTTTGACAGATCTTGGCTTATATATCCCATGCTTATTTCCAGATACCCAAGGAAATTGTTGGAGAAAATTTGGAATCGTGGATTGATTATCGATACAAATGTTTAGACAAACAAAACAGTAAGAAACATTTTTACCGGTATTTTTTTTGAATGTTCCGATGTACAATGACGTATATAGACAATGCAACTAGTTATCACCTTGCCATCAGTCGATTCTTCCATGTGTAAAATAAAACTGTTCGAGTATTGAGAACTAATGTCCAAAATAAAGTTGGAATACTTTCCGTGAGAGTACCATTTAAACTTTATTGTATTTTGAGAAATCAACGTCAGTGTGATGGTTATACTACTTAGACCGATATTCAATTGTTGGATACCCAGTCTATTGATTACTGTTCCCCCTATTCACAGCCACATTTGACCAAATCTTGTACAAATATTATTTTCTATTTTATGATACGATGTGGTCAGTCTGTTTGGTATATAAACCCAATATGTTTGGGAATAATGATTCATATTGCAGAGGCTGAGATTGGTGTCCTGTACTTAACTGGCTGGGCTAAGCAGATAGCAGGACTGATAAGTACTCAAGACTGTTCATACGGCTTTTGTATGTCATTGCTCTGATCGATCATCCACTCCTCTCTAATTTGGCAATGATCATCACGTCATATATTAAAGCGGGCACTCACTCAATTGATATGGCCACTTTATCCAAACTCAACAGTGTCTTTGTTTGTTCACAAGTTAAATGATACAAACTATTTGTTATCATTTCAATAGAAATTTATGAAATTGAAGTGTTTCTTCTTTTATTCAATCAGATACTGTTTCCAAACCATACAATCGAATTCAGATTCCAAAAAACTTTATCAAAAGTCGTACTTTAGTGGAGTTTGAACCGAATACAGGTATGTTGAAACGGATTTCATCAATATTGATCAATTCCATTCTTGAACATCTTAATTTTATTACTTCATGTTAAGAATTACAAATGTCATTTTAGTCGGGTATTAAGTGATCTTGTAGGACCAGTGAAATGTGACTGAACCCTAGCCAAATCATCCGACAGTTGAGTCACTAAATATCGATCAGGTCAGCCATCCCCGTCAAGGTCAAGGACAATCAACGCGCATCAGTTAGTCATACGCCATGGACTGGCCCATGCGGCTGTGGTTCTACTTTCGCTTGCATCTACTTTAACTAATATATCCCTGTAATGACGTCCTTTGTGTTATATAGTCTTCAGAGCATCCATGGTCCCTTGACGGGTCAATTTGGCAATCCATGTAAAGTACTAATCGTGATGTGCGACTTCGAAGTTAGCTTGTTCGTTGCACCGTTCCCATCTAACTCGAGTAGGCCTCCAATCATTCGATATAGATCATCAAAGTTGATGGTCTACAATATGCAACTATCTATCTGAATGGATGTTCTCTTAACTATGAATGAGTTCATTTCGATTCATAGTTGAATATTCGACATAATTGAGAAAACCCCTGTTGAACATTTTGGTCTCCATTTTGATTAATTTTATGTAATCACAATGTCACAATACGATGGATTAGATGATACAAGTCTTGATTTAAATTGATTGACAGTTAGTTAAAGATGCAGTGTCAAGGAAGTTTCCATTGTTCCTTTTATTTAATGCATATGATATGGAAGTTCCTTGAGGTATTGAAATTGCAGAAACATTCTATGTGATTGTCATTACTTTGATAACAATAGTGTTATTTCTGAAAGCTTTACTTTCTCATACTTATACAGTAACTCAAAGGTAGAGATAAGTACCATAGTCAAATGGCAATTTGTCATAGTTAGTAGATATTTGTACAGTATCAAACATACTGACAACTTTCACAGAGTGATAATGTTTTCTTTCTCATCAGTATGTACAATGAATAACTACAGAGACTTTCCAATACACTGTGTATACAACTAATGGGAACAAATCTACTGTTCAGATCCCTCCTCAAAACTCATTGAATAAAATGTTATGTATGATCAATGAATATTTAGTTGTTCAACCAATCTGATGTGGTCATCGATAACATATATAGATTAGAATCTCACCATTCAGTTTGAAACCTTCCAAAATAATAGTAGACTGATTGAAATCTTGGAAAGTACAATGTCACGTTTTATTCCACAAACAACTGATTTTCTTGTACTGATTTCCAAATAGCTACTATAAGTGAAGGGAAGAAACACTACAACCATCAGTAATTCAATGTAGCATGATTTGTTTAACCCAATGACATTATAAAGTGTACATGTCTGAATGAGGACCGTCAGTGAAATTCACTACATTGATTTGTTCAATTCTAACATACTGTCATAAAACATGAATTATATTCAAAGTATATTCATGATCACAATACGTAACGTGCACTGCTGAGGAGACCCACAATAGGACGAAACAGCCTTACAGTGCATTCAGGTTCCCCATAATGGTTTAACTTCACTTGATTTATCTTTTATTTAATAACTTGAAATACCTATATATTGTTCTTTTTTTTCCAGAAAGTTGTTTCATGAAAGTTTCAAATGAAACATGTTTAAGTGCATCGAAACTTGATATGGAATGTCATTGGTGTTTAACAGCTAATCTGTGTAGTAATGGTCGTGATACACTTTCGAAGGCTTGGATGATTAATAATTGTCCAAAGATTGTAAGTAATTATTGAACTGAACAGATTTCGCTTTTCCCAATATCATTCTATATTGTAAATCTGTTTTACTATTTCGATTGTTTGCTTGTTTGTTCCTTTCAGAATATGCAAAAGGATAACAAAAGTGATCAGAAGGATAAGAAAAGTGAACATATGGATAACAAAAGTGGTCAGAAGGATAAGAAAACTGAACAAATGGATAACAAAAGTGATCAGAAGGATAACAAGCCAATGTTTAATTACCTATATGTTTTGATACCATCAGTCATTGGTCTCGTCGTTGTAGGCGTTGGCTTCATCGTGTGGTTCTGGTTATCTAAAAGACAATAGAGGAATCAATGATCTTCATGGAATTTGTTTTTTTTGTATCATTATTATTGTGCTGCATAGAAACAATGATATTATTTTGTTGTAATTCATTTCAGTAGTATAGTCATATTATTTTGTAGAATGATGCATCATTTTCTATAGTAACTGATGTAATCAATGATGTAATTTTTATTGATTTTTATTATATATGTAATTGTTTTTATTTGATAAAAAAATGACTTGTGTTATAACATACTACTTATAAATTAATAGTGTTATAATGAGAAGCGGTTTTGTGGAGGTATCAGTATTTTCATAGTTGAAATCATCAGTCGATTGAAGCTAGACTACCATAGAAAACATTGAAGCACTATACGGTCGTTTCGTGATAACGTTGTACTCCTAAGCAGAGCGCATTCACGGTTTGAACTCCATTCGTCACTACTTCTCACTAGAACTCCAGGAATTTTCTCTTGAAGTCAGTCATTAGATAGCAAATATCCAATCTTTTTGGAAAACCAATCAAAATAGATAAAACACAAAATTTGTCTCAAATAAGTAGTCATTGAGTATTTCTGAAAAATATCAACTACGTACACAATGTATAAACCCATGTGATTGAAGAAAATGCATATGCATATACAAACATATTCGGATGTATGTTGTAACAAGCTTAACAGGTACAATATAAGAAGAAAATGTATTCAAGTACATCGAAAATACCGATTCTAATGTGCTTCTAGACCATCAACTCTTTCTGAAACATTGTGAGATTGCAATTGTGATTAGATTATATGTTAGTTACAAGATGAGATTGGTAGAGTTCTAGTGAGAAACTGTGTCCAATGTGGTTCAGCCACATCAGGTGTGAAACAATTATCGACTGTAAGCAATAGGATAAGATCGTGAAGATTAGTGAATTGATCATAGTTGCATATGTAAAACATCTAGATTTCGTCTCAGTGGTCCATGATCTTAAGCATTCATGTACGAGAACCAATGGAAAATCATGAATTGTAGCCTTAGATGCATGATCCTAAATGCGCGCTGTTAAGGGGTCACAAACAAAGACGAAACCACCATCACGTACTTCCACTTTTCAGTAGAAATCTAACAAAGAGAACTTTATGATTTGAGGCTATGAGATGGTGGAGAAGATTGGTGACTCAAGTAAATGGTTCGGGTGACGTCTTGTTCTCTGAGCTAGATGGTTTGATAATGGAGCTTTCATAGTTCAACTGAACAACACCATCAGCACAACTTTTGAGCAGAATTTAAGTGTTCGCATTTCCCCCCGTAAATGGCATACAGCTCTCACTCTAGATCTCGATCTTCTCAACACTAGAGAACGTTTATATGCTTAGCACTCAAGTCAATCAACAATCAACACATTCAAATCACACCTACTTGAATTCTGTTAAACTTAATAGATTTCTTCTTTAGAAAATTATTTTCTAAAATTGATTATAATAAACATATGTGCAAGTACAGTATGTAAATATCTGTCCGTTGACCTTAATGGACTATAGAAATATATCATTGATTATAACTTGTGATCACCTATGACCACATTCCTGTCTATTCAAACATATAATGAGGTATATTCTATTGTGGTGTGAGCACAGTGTAAGTCTCTGATAAAGTCTCTAATAAGTCTCTAATAAAATGAAAGATGTTACTTTCAAATTACGCAGAGTTATAGATGTGATCGACAATTGCCTACACACACACACAGAGAATAAAGACGAAGGAATTTTTCATTGTACTAATGACTGCTACATTCTTTTAAAAACAGAATTTGGTGAAAACAAATACTTTGGCTGTCAATTCAATGAAAAGTACTTTCTTCAGATATCAATAAACACTATGACCATCAATCATCAAATTTCAATTGAGTTTACTGATTGTTGTTTTCCTATAAGATCTTCTAGTTTTCATCTCCACAGTTTATCACTCTATGGAGCTGCTGTGAATGATCTCGATCCTTACAGACTCGACTGGCTATTACGACTTATGTATATTGTCTACGTGAGTATCATGAGAATTCCGATTCATCCTTACCATTGGTGCCGATAAGGTGATATTTCAATTTATTCTAGTAATGTTCTGTTTTCGTTAGCCGTCAGTCGAATGTCCGAATTTCAGGTTTTATGTCGGTAGACAATGTGCTGTATGCTGTGACATTGATCTTGAAGGATCTATTAGTCGTCAAGTAAACCAAACTGGGATCACTCAACCATCCAGTACTATCTACGACTATTGTGTAACACGAACCACAACTAACCTTTCACAGAACGGATATATATTAATTCACTGATCATTGATTGTTTTTGGTACTGTGTTCGTCTGGTACTTAAATGTTTTTACAATTCTATCAATCGGGTATTTTATCTGTACTGCTGAACATTGCTCTAACACTCCCAATTCATCAGGTTGACTGAATCATGTGAATCCCAACCATCAGCACCACCTTATTATATGGTACACAATTCTTATTTGGATGAGAATCAATCAGTATTTCTGCATAATCATGAGTAACGTATGTTTTGTACAAAACGGAATCATTACATATTGATTTCGGTCGTGATTTCAGTGCATGACAGATCAAAGATCTTCAAAGTACATATTAAGATTGACCAATGCAAAAAGATGTGGATCTACTGTCTTTCATTTTGTGTTTTCATTTATGAGAGTCAACATGTTCTGAAGTGAAAACACCATTATCTCAAATAACATGTATGTTCCGTAACTAGCATCACTCTATTTCGTTCGATAAAATATTGTCTCGAAATTTCATGCTACTGATTGTGATATAGTAGTGTGACAGTTAGACATAATTTAATGTAATTTTCTCTCATACACGAAATTATAGTAATTATGATGGAGTGCTGTACTGATGGGCAATTCAACCAAGGAGTACTAGATGAGGATGAATGGACGTATTGTATTTGGAATTCGAATTCAGACAATCATCAAATACAAAGGAATCATTAGTTCATATAAACACCACATCAGTATAATTCAATTCCAACTGTTATCATAGGTTATATCATCAACTGGTTTGACCCATGATCAGTTTGTGACATAAAGTCTATGAAAATTCCACATTCTCCACGAAACCATTCAATGACGATTTATTAATGTCTAAAGGAAATTGTACGAGTAGTAATGGAGTATTCACTTAATATGCATGTTGGTTAAGTGTTTGTTCCCTCTTGGATTATATTGCTTGCATTGACGGCAATTGTGTACTTTTGATTGTGACTTGAAGCGCTTTTACAAAATTAGAAACACACTGTGCAACCAAATATTAACTTTTGAGCGAATTGGCATGTGGTCTATCTAGAAAGGATAGAATAACATTTATTTGTTAACCTTGGTAATTCTCTAACATCCTATATCAATTTGTTTATTTATTGTAATTTAGGTTTGATTACTGATTGAACAGTAATTGGTTGAATAACTGGTTGGTAATATTTGCTTAGATAATAAAGTATATATATATTTATAGTGAAGTCTAGAACCGTCATTTACCTAATCACCTTGATTTAGTTTCAACTTACCTAGACAGTTGTTCTTCAGTCCAAACCTATGTTTGAGTTCTTCAGTTTTAAACGACTATCTGGCGATTAATGGAAGTTATTTGGCTTACGTTTCGTAGATTACAAATAATGTTCCTAAAAATATTCTATTCCGTCACTCGTAATGACAAACAATTGTCAAATGAAGTCAAACACAAAACTGGTTTTGATGGAGTCATACTAAATGATGATTCCCCTTTAACAGAGCAAGTACATTTTGATGTTCTTGTGTGTCATGGTTCAGAATCAAATAAGTGTAATTATCACGATAGTGACTCTTGTTGTGATTCGATGCCAGATGTGGTAAAAAATCCTAGTTTAAATGTGAAGCGAAGGCTTGAAATATCTATGGCCTCTGTTGTAGGCGCAAAACTTGCGAAGGTGGATTTGAGATATTTCGATGAACTTCCAAGAGGGTACTTTAAGTTTAAGGCAGTTTGAGACCTGTGTATCATCAAGGGTCATTGATTATAGTCAATATTTGTCTCATTTGATCCACTGTTGTAAGCGTAAGGCGAAAAAAGCATGTATACCAGGACATAAGCCAACAAAGTTCTTCTGTTGATTGGTTGAGACATATTAGAAGCACATTGGGTATTAGATCAGTGATTGGGTGAAACTAAAAACCCCTTCGACGTAAAAACGTTGCTGGAGTGGACTGTTTTCGGACCTGCATCTTCCCCAGAATCTGGAAAACCAGTTGTTATTCATACTAGTAATGCACGTAAGCTTTATCACGTGGAGTTCTCTGATGTATATTCAAGTGATAAATAAGTGTCAGTAGAAGATAATGCGGCCACAGAAATTGCAGTAAGGGGCTTGCACTTCAACAATGGTCATTTGGTGGTTTCGATAACGTGGAAAAGGAATGTGGATAAGAAAGTCGGAAATTGTGATGTAATAAACAGTAGTTTATATGGTTTGTGGTGTAGGTTGTTGACGGATGACCGTCTGTAGATCATATATACTAAATGTGTCGAATATAATTTTACCAAGAGCTGTGTGGAGAAGGTTCCCGAAATACAATTACAGACAGAGTATCGGCTCCGTTGGTATTTATCTCATCATCCAGTGTTCAACCCGGAAACACCAGAGAAACTGAGAGTGATCTTTAATTGTAACGTCAACTTTGCAGAGGTTTCTCTAAATTATATGATTTATCATGGCGCCGATACCACGACCGAGCTAGATTCCAAGCATATGAGAGGTGAGTTGAATGACATTAAGATGAAGGCTATCAAACGAGGTCAAGAGTATCATAATTTACAAAGAAGGATAAAAATTCTTGAGATGGAACTTAGTAAATATAAACAAGATCATGATGCTTACCAGCCTCTCCCTAGTGACTACCGTGTTTTAGAAAAACCGTTCGAAGAAATGAAACCAATTTGGAAAACAAAATCGTCGGTCTTAAACAGCAGTAAGGTTTCCGTTCTCGGT